GAACAACTACTTAAGTATTTTGGCCTCTTGTCATTGAATCTCCAGACAAGCGTTTTGAAACTGCTCTTACCTATCTGATCTTATTGCCATGTTACCTACTTGCATGTGTTCATCTTCAGGGATGAGTTCAAGAGTGGGGCTTGTGATTGTGGGTATCTCTTTGCTGCCGATGGAGAAGCTTCTGTTTGGAAATCCTCACTCATCACAATAAGACTTCTAGTTCAAAATCAAGGGATTAGAAAACACTCTGCAGGCAGGAGCGATTTCCTGTGAAGTCATAGGCTTCCAACCATCCTCCTCCAGGTATCCAAGGCTGAGTGGGTGGGGGAGGAGGGAAGCCCAGGGACCATCACCTGAGGCCCACACCTGGCCCCTGTCGCATACACTCCCCATGTTGCTTCTCTCCAGGGAAAAGAGGGTATAAGACCCCCAAGGGTAGCTTTGAGAGGGGCCAGGTAAGAGCGAGTGGGACAAAGAAAGGTAACACCAATGCCTGATGGGTGGGGCTGCATGGGTGGGGGATGTGCATGGGGTGAAGGTGGTCATGTGACCTGGGCTATTTCAGAGTCACATAGAACCACCTCCTGCTCCAGGTGCCTCCAGAGGGCTCAGAGCCGGCTGCAGAACACCCCTGTGAAATATGGGGTGCCCCCGTTTATGGCCTCCCGGGAGGAGACTACAGGCAGGATGACCCCGGCTCTGCCCCAAGAACCCTCTCAATGCATGGAACTCAACTCTCCCTTTTCAGGTTTTCTCCACGGACAGAGAGGGTTCTGTTAATTGAATCATGTTCCTAATTCGTTGGTCCCAGAACCCAGTCGGGAACTTCAGCATTTGCCAGTTGCTGAGTTATTCACAGGAGAGGGTTGCATACACCTTCACCAGCAGCCTTTAGGAGAGCTAAGTCCCACCTGCTTTGTTTGGAAAGTGCTCACACGGTAAGTGTTAACTTCTGCCTGAGCCAGCAGCTGGGAACGATCCTGATCCAGTTTTGCAAGTGACTGTGATGAACTGTGGCCCCAGCTCTCTCGGCGGCAGGTGTCAAACTGACATAATCCCGGGGTGGAAGTGGGGCAGCGGGGGTGGCTGGCCATGAAATCTTCGGCTGCCCATCCCCATGTGCTTCTGTGGATATTTGTGGTTTGCATTTCCAGTGGGTTTCATCAAGAATGAGTCTCATGGCCCCAGAGAGTCTGCTAACATGATCACAACTCATTCAAGGAAAGAAAAATGGAAGCAGAGAGAAAGCGAGTCCACAAAGCTGACCAGGGGCAGAGGTAAGGGGGCAAGTGGGCCCCGCACACCAGCCCAGCCAGGGCTTTTGGCTCGGACAAGCTGTGAAGCCCCCACTCCTACAAAAGGGTGCGGGGGTCGCTCCAACTATGGAGCCTTGTGACAGTCATCCTTCCGAGAAGTGGGGGGTAATGCTTGGGGCATAACAGGAGAGTCTCTTAACAAGAGATCTGCTCAGAGAATTTTTCTCCCAACAGTCAGGACGGCCTTTGATTTGTGGGGAACTGGGCAGAGAAAAGGGGTGCTAGCTGGAGGGAAGGGGGGATACTTTCCAACCAAAAGAGTTCACAGAGTCACGATGGCCTGGCTCATGATCCGCCTGGTGACCATCCAGATGCTGAGAAGTCCCACGGGAAATAAGACTGGAAAAATGAAGATAAATATGAGCAGAAAATGAGGTCTAAAACTTGTCATATGACCAACAAGTCACTGGATGATTTGATTTGTGCCGCAGATATTTGAAGTAATACTTCATTAACACAAAATAATGTATTCAATGTCTATGTTAGTTATAAAATATAATTACACAAGGAACATCTGCCCAACTTAAGAACCAGACCAAAGCCTTTGAAATTACCTAGATGTTTCCTCCCGATTGGTTGGCCTGCGATAAGCAAAATCCTGAAAATGGTGTTTATGGTCGCTCCTTTTAAAAATGTGAGCATGATCACTCTGTTGCCTCATTACTTGAATTTTCACTAAGAGAATTTAATATTTTACTTAAAAGCATACTTTGTAGCATAAAATATCCTTGGGTTGACATCACTGAGTCCAGCTTCTTGTTATTCACACCTTTGGTTTTTATTAACTTCGCCCCCCTGCCAATAAGCTGAGCTGCACAGTGAGGGAATGAGACGTTGATGGGCTCAGGAAAGATAGAGAGGTGCTGAGTGTGGTCCAGGTCCTGAGGGGGTCTGGGCAACCCCTGAACACGAAAGATAGTAACTTATGAGCACTTACTTATGGCAGGTGCTGTTCTTAGCACTCTGCTAGCATTTTAACAGATTATCCTCACAATTCTGCAGTAAATTCAGTACTATCTTTGTATTACAGAGGAAGAAAATGCCTCCTAAAGAAATAACTCACACAAGATCACTTACTTTACAGAAGCAAAGGCAGAATTTAAACTCTGCCCTGGATAGCTCCAAAGCCAAGGCCTTTAGTTTCAAATCAGTCATTTTACTAGACAACCTCTATTGCTCCATTGAGTTTGACTTAAAACCATGACAGTTTAGGACTGAACTGGGTGTGGTTGGAGGAGTTAGGAGTTTTGCTTCCCAGTTTTGTTTCAGCTCAGGTAAAATGGGTTTTAGGACTCCACTCTACCAAAATGAACCAAATGCTTGAGGGACCCCAGCCCAGCACTGCATGTGATGTGAGCATGATCACTCTTTCTAAGAGATTTGTTTGACACACAGAGGCATTTGACAGCTCCGAAAAGAAGGGCTTGGGAAATTATAAACTACGATATTAGACAAAAAGACGAGCAGTTTTCTGAGTTCTAGAACAAACAGTACCTAGGGAAAGAAAACAAGAAGCTGACGGAGATTAGGGGAAAGATTTGTAACACCCTATTTAAACCTAAGCAGACATATCCTGATATGCTGGCGCTGAGGTTTTGGAAGCTGGGGTGGAAGGAATGGTAGAAGTCACAAGCCACTGTTGTAAGTTGCAGAAGCACTGGAAGTTCTTTAGGAAAGAGCAAAAGAGGACCTTGGAAATTTCATTTGAGGACCTACTCTATCATTTAGGGGCTAGAAGATACCAGGGCTCCCTCACCTATTGTCCCTATGTTCCTTGAGAATAGGAACTGGGCCTCAGTCCCCACTTTCCCTTCACCTTCCAACAGTGTACCTTTCACTATGTGGTGTTGCAATAACCCCTCTGACCTCAGAACCTCAAGGAGCATAAGCCAAATTTATCAGGGTGGGAGGCACAGATCGGAACCAGAGGCCAACTTCTGGAAATGCAGCCCCAGAAGTGGACCAAGACGTGTGCTGACTGGCAAACCTTACACTGACCATCACCCCCCATGAGCAAGTCATGCCTCTGAGTCTTGCTGCCTGGGAAACTTCTGTAGATCCCTGCAATAAAACAGACGATTTCCACTCCCTATCTCACTTAATTTACTGCTCAATTTATTGTGGGTGGGGCTAGCCACAGGGAAATGGGGCTTGAAATGGTTCACTTTGTTCTCTGCATGCTGCCTACACACCCACTTCTCTGCCATCTGTGAAGGAAGAAAGTGCAATGTGCCTGGAATGAGAACACTGAACTCCCATGATGATATTCATCTTAGTGACTGAAAAAAAAAAAAGGCAGAGAGGAGAAAGAGACTTAAATTAACATCCTCCGGATCTTCGGGGAAAGTGTTTAAACATTGAGAAAAGAACAATACCATTTCAGTATGGGAAGCTATACACAATAAGCACACTTACTTTTTTGTTTTTTTAAGATTTTATTTATTTATTTGAAAAAGCAAGAGAGAACAAGCTGGGGAATTGGCAGAGGGAGAGGGAGAAGCATGCTTCCTGATGAGCCTGATGGACCCTGGGGTCATGACTGGAGCCAAAGGCAGACACTTAACTGACTGAGCCACCCAGGCGTCCCTATAAACACATTTCCTATAATGGCTTTTTCTAAACATGACTCCTTAGTAACTGAGATTAAGTGTAAAAGTTGTAACGAAGGAAATTTCATACATTTCTTAAGATTAGCAAGGCATTTAAAATTCATTATATTTTTCGTAAGGTAAAAAAAAACAAAACTTTTGCAATCATTAAACAAAGTTGGATTAAAATAACCACATAAGTGCCCACTCAATCCTGAGGATGAAGAAGAATGTTCTTGTTTGTCTCATGACTTTGGATGATTTCCCTGGTGCTGAGTCCACGGAAGCATCCCTCTACAGAGCTTGGTGAGTCCGTGTGGCTGGTGTGTTCACATGAAGGAGCAGAAGGTGTGTGGGAAGGTGAGCAGGGTTCCCATCTCAGAGCTTTGTACATCACATTGGAACTACATCCTAAAGTCGGTGGGTGTTCAGTGAAGTGTATCAAGTAAAGGTGTGGGGAGGTGGGTAGGCTCCAAGATGGCCCAGTGATCCCCTGCCTCCCATGATATTCACACCCTGGTTCTATCCCTTCCCTTTGAGTGCGGGCTGGATTTAGTGAGTTACTTCTAATGAAAAGAACACAGCAAAAGTAAAAGGAGGTCATTTCTGAGATTAGGGTATAAAAAGACTGTGGCTTCCATCTCAGTTTCTTGGTCTCTGTCTCTGTCTCTCTCTCATTGAGAGAAGAGGAATAAGTTGCCATGCTGTGAATTGCCCTATGGAGAGACCCACATGGCAAGGAACTGATATCCACCCAGCTAAACTGCTTCAGGACTTCTGACCCTCAGAAGCTATGAAATGATGTTTGTTGTTTTCAACTGCTAGATTTTGGGATGATTTGTTATGCAGCAATAGACAAATACATGTCTATTATTTGTATATTAAAAAAGAATGGCCCTGTTGAGACGCCGACTCTTGATTTCAGCTGAGGTCATGATCTCAGGGTCATGAGATTGACCCTGTGTTGGGCTCTGTGCTGGGCATGGATTCTCTCTTTCCCTCTCTTTGCCCCTCTCCCTCACTTGCATACATGCACTTTCTCTCTCCCCCTCGCAAAAAAAAAAAAAAAAAAAAATTGAAAAAGAAAATGGGCTGAGGGAGCCGCCATTTTGGGTGCTGAGCTTTAAGTGCCAAGTTCCTTTCACCCGTTTTCATGCCTGGATTCAGCCAGGAGGAACAGCACAGCATGCTGGGCTCTGGATTTAAAGCTGAGCGTTTACGAGTCAATTTGCGATTAGTCATAAACCGTCTTAAACTATTGGAGAAAAAAAAAACGGAACTGGCCCAGAAAGCAAGGAAAGAGATTGCTGACTATCTGGCTGCTGGGAAGGATGAACGAGCTCGGATCCGAGTGGAGCATATTATCCGAGAAGACTACCTTGTGGAGGCCATGGAAATTCTGGAGCTGTATTGTGATCTGCTGCTGGCTCGGTTTGGTCTCATCCAGTCTGCGAAGGAACTAGATTCTGGTCTGGCTGAATCTGTGTCTACACTGATATGGGCTGCTCCTCTGCTCCAGTCAGAAGTGGCTGAGTTGAAAATAGTTGCTGATCAGCTCTGTGCCAAGTATAGCAAGGAATACGGCAAGTTATGTAGGACCAACCAGATTGGAACTGTGAATGACAGGCTAATGCACAAACTGAGTGTGGAAGCCCCACCCAAAATCCTGGTGGAGAGCTACCTGATTGAAATTGCTAAGAACTACAATGTGCCCTATGAGCCTGACTCTGTGGTCATGGCAGAAGCTCCTCCTGGGGTAGAGACAGATCTTATTGATGTTGGATTCACAGATGATGTGAAGAAAGGGGGTCCTGGAAGAGGAGGAGGGGGTGGTTTCGCAACACCAGTTGGTGGACCTGATGGAACAGTGCC